TTTTACTAACTCTATTTTTTTTAAATACTAAGCTATATTAGCTATTTACTTATATAATTCCCTATTATCCTCCCCTTATTAAAAATACTAAACTAGCTCTTTATTTATTATTAAGATAAGCTTAATATTTAGTTTTAACTTAGCTAATCTATTTTTTTTATAAGCCTAGTTAATATCGACTTATTTTTATTTTTAAATAAGTAGCCTCGCTTTTTATTATTAGTACTTTAGTTATTATAAATAGTATAAGCTTAACTAGTTAACTAGCCTTTTTTAAGTAAGGCTAGTTATAATAAAATAGGTTATATTATATTCTTTAGCTTATTATAAAGGGATATAATAATTTTAAGGTTAAGGATTTAGTAATATAAGTTTAAAAAAGATATTTTTTAAAAACGTTACTAAGGGTATACTTTTTATTTATTAAAAATAACTAAATTTAATATTTTAAAATAGATTTTATAATAATATAAAATACTTAGCTTAATTAAAATAATATAATTTAAATTATAAGATTTAAAGAAGTTTAAAAATAGCCTCTTATTAAACGGTATTATTTTTTTTATAAACTAGCTTTATATCCTAATTAAAGTAAAATATTTTAAAAAAAGTATTATTTAAAGTTTATTTAGGTACTTAAAGCGAGTATTTATATAGTGGTTTTGTTCTAGTTTTATAAGCGTAAAAAATCGACCTTAATAGGATTACGCTTTTAAAAAAAATTATATAATATAGTATATTTTTTAACTATATAATAGGCGTAATATGCCCTAAGTACGTACTTAACGTAATATAATAATTTTAATATAAAAACTGCTATATAATTTAGAATAGGTAAGCTATTTTATTACTTATTAATAATAGGCTAAGCGATATATTTACGTAGCGGTACTAGTTAAAAAGGTTAATAGTAGAAGTTAGTTATAATAATTAGCTATAATAGTTAGTTATAATAGTTAGAGGTAGCTCTTAACTATAGAGGTTCTAAATTTTAATAATAATATAGAGGTTTTTAAAAAAAAGGGCTAAATAGGCTAATATTTATTATTTTTTTATATAGTGGTTTTTTTCTAGTTTTATAAGTATAAAGATTAACCTTAACGGGATTACGTTTTTAAAAGAAATTATATAATATAATATACTTTTTAACTATATAATACGTATAATATATCCTAAGTACACGCTTAACGTAATATAGTAATTTTAATATAAAAACTACTATTTAATTTAGGATAAGTAAGTTACTATAATAGTGTTAGTTAAAAAGGTTAATAATAAAAGTTAGCTATAATAATTAGCTATAATAGTTAGCTATAATAGTTAGTTATAATAGTTAGAGGCAGCCTTTTTTAACTATAGAAATTCTAAATTTTAATAATAACGTAGAAGTTTTTAAAAAAAGGGCTAAATAAGCTAATATTTACTACTCTTTATACTAAAGCTCGTAAAAATTCTTTTTATTTTTATTATTTCTAATATTACTTAAAGCTACTCTCTATTTAAACTAAATAAATTTACTAAACAAATTTATTAAATAAACTTATTAATATATAAACTACTACCTAAATAGCTAGTTAAATAACTAGTTAAGAAGTTAGCTAGTTAAAATACTACCTCGACGAGAACTTATTTTACTAAAAATACTTATTAATAAGTTTACCCCTCTTAGGCTAGGCGCCCTCTTTAGCTAGTTCGATATTATAGCTATTATAATTAACGTAAATATACCTAAGAAGTAGTAAAGTATTTTTTAATAATACGGAATTTAATTAAGTAATATTATAAGTATTATAAATAGCCGGGCTAATACGAATATTAAGATTTAGTATATTAATATTAGCTTAGTTATAATAGTTATAATAAACGGGCTAGAGGTATATAGGGTTAGGGTAATAAACTAATACCTTAAATAGCTCTTACGGAACCCCTTAAATAACGATAATACTTATATAAAAAAATAAATTATATTAAACTTAGTTACTTATATAAGTTAGTATTAAGAAGTCTTATATATATTAAAATAAATAAAGCTCGCTCTATAAGTAGCTAAAATTTAAGAGGACTTTATATAGTAAAAAGTTAAGAGTTTTAGTTAGTAATTAAGTATAAAGCGCATTATACTTAGTTTTCTTTAATACGTAATACATAGTACGGCCCCGGCGGATTACTTTATCGGGGGGTTATTTTTAATTTATATACTTTTATTATATTATATAAATAAGGCTATTTACAATTCTGTTTATATTAAGTCCTTTTTTCTTAAGTTTAAAGAGTTATTTCTTTATATTAACTAAGAAGTTTTACTTAATTCGTTTTTTAAAAAAGTAAAATATATCTCTTATAACGGGGTTTATATTAGCTTTTTCTTTATATCTTTATAAATTTAAAAGAGTATAGTAATATATTTAATATTCTTTTTTTTAAAAATATAGGGTTAATAAATAAGTATTCGTTCTTTTTTTATTATTACTACTAGGGTTTTAATAAGAGGGGATATAGTATTATATCCGGATTATTTATTATTTTTTAGTTATTTTAAATACTATTTAGTTTATTCTTTATTATTTTAATAAATAAAATAGTTATTATTATAATAAGCTATTTATAAAAGTTACTTATAAAGAACTTCTTTATTTATAATATTAGCTTATTCTTTTAAAATAAGTTAGTATTAAATATATATAGGTTATTACTAATCTCTAGATATATATCTTAGTTTATTATAATTATAATATTTAAAATCCTTCTTTTAATAAGGTTATTTTTTTTTAATAACGCTAAGGTCTATTAATTTATTATAATATTTTATTATAGTAGTTATTAGTTTATATTTATATTTATTATTATTAAGTTTAGCTTAGTTATTCTAAGCGTTTTATTTTTTTTATTTAAAGTATTATTTGTACAGTCGGTTATTAATTTTAATTATTATATTAATATAATTATAAAGTTTATTAAGTCGGCCTTAGTAAAAGAGGTTATTCTTAACTTTTCTTTTTAAACTATAATAAAAAGCTATTATAAATACTTTATTATTTTAATTAAGTTTAAAAATAATTTATTTAAATTTAGATTTATACTTACTAACTAACCTTTTTTATATAAGGGTTATAAGCCTTCGTTTAGTAATTCGTTCTTTATTAAAGTTATTAAAAGTTTTTTTAAGTCTTTTTTTAAACTCGTTATAGTTATTAAAAATCTTTTTAATATCTTTATTTTAAATATTATATTTATTTATAAAATAGTTTTTTATAAAGGGTTTAAACTAAATAAGTATATTTTCTTAAAATAATAAGGCTATATAGTAAATTTTATTTATTTTAATAATAAAAGAGGTTTTATAATAGCGTAAATAGGCCCTAGTTTAAATAAAAATCTTTAGAAAGTATCTAGGGACCCGTTATAAAGTTCTAGTTCGGAGTATTTAGCCCTAAGTATTAAAAAAGGTCGGGGCGCTATAAACTAAGTATAAAATTACTCGTTTTTATTTTTAAAATTAAGTATTATATTATATAATTACTAAATAATAAGTATAATTACTTTAATAAGCTACGCTATATTATTATTATTAAAAATTAATATATTCGTATTATTTAGTTAGTTTTTTATAAAATAAACTTACTAAATAAGAGTAATTAAAATATTATAACTAGCTAGTTATAATAAGTATATTAATAAAAATTAAGGTTATAAATATTAATTAAATAATATTATAATTATAAATAGTTTTTTTAAAGCTATACTTATAAATTATAAAATAAATAAGGCTTTAGTAATTAATTATAATTTTATTAAAAAAGGTTTTTATTAAAAATAGCTAAAAGCGATTATAAGATTTAATATTAAGTTAATTATTAAAAAAGTTATAAAAACTTTATTTTTAAGCTTAGCTTAAATTTATATTATATATAAGTTTTATTCCTAAATATATCCTTTATTTATATATTATTTTAATAAGCCCCGTATTTTAAATATATAAGCTCCGTGTTTTAAAAAGTAAGGTCTATATTTTTAATATATGGACTTTCTTATTTTTTATTAATATATAACTTATTTTATAGTTTTTTTATTTTATAAGAGTTACTTTATATTCCTGTATTTTTATATATATAGTATATTATAGCCGTTATAAGCTTATAGGGTAGGCCCTAGTCGTAGTTATATATATTAAGTTATAATAAGTTATTTTAAGTTTGCTCTTTATATATATAGTATAATAACTACTATAAGCTTTATAAAGCGAGGTCCTAGCTATATTATATATATTAAGTCGTAATAAAAAGATTATTTAAAACTTTTAGAAAGTCTAACTTAAGTATTAAACCGTTTATTTTAAAAATAAAGCTTTAATAAAGTATTAATATAAAATATAGCTAAATATAATATAAATAATATTAATAATAATTTTTTTATTTAGGAATTTCTTATCGATTTTGCTATAAAAATTCTTCTATATTGTAGTTTTATATGCGAATTTTAATAAATAGTTTAAAAAACTGGCCCTTAAAGTGTAATAAGAACGTACCTAGCTAGCTTATCTATCTAGCTCGCTTATTATATATTTTAAATATAAAATTAATATATATTATATTAAAGAGTGAGTTTAGGGCTTTTTTTTAATATATACCTTCGCTATTTAAATTAAAAAATTAATAGTTCTGCGGCTAGTCGAAGTATAGTAGTGAAAATATAGGAGATTAGGTAATTAAGGATAATAGTAGGGTGTTTACGAACTTTTAGCACCCTACTATATACCTCTCGATCTTTTTACTACTTCTAGCTTGCATAGCCACATGTGGCGTTTCGCAGCCATACCTGTGCACTTGATCCTAGTCTAGAGGGTCTGGGATGTAGCTTCTACAATCTTAGCACCCCGCGAGTCCCCTTTTTATCGCCATTCACCTGCGATGGCAGCATCGAGGTCATGTTTGGCAGGGAGGGGCTCAGTGATGGGTCGATGCGCCTCTGTGGACCCAAGGACTACTTTGACAAAAGCAAGGATGGACTTTGAAAGCAATCTTTCTGATTCCATTCAAACATATCGGTACGTAAAGTTGGGATCACGGGAGGTCTTCTTTCTTACTTGGGCCACAGGGCAAGTCGTTTTGCTTCCAAATGCAGCCAAGCTATCTTCGAAGGAAGAAGCATACGAAATGGTCACCATACCGACTGGCTCAACTGGTGCATCTCGAATCAAACGGGAGTATCCGAAAATTATCTCATTCATTTGGCCTGAGAAGAAGGCAGAGAAGGAGCTTGGTGGCATTCTCGTAAAGGGCGAAAAGAGTGCATATGTCAATGTTCTCAAGAAAGTGTTCCACGAGCAGCTCGAAGCCTTTGACAAGTCAGTGATTGACATAACAGAGAACACTGACTCGAAACTCCTTGGAGTGGAATGTGGTCTTTCATCACCAATGGGCTCGAACATCGAATTCAGTATCGACGGTACGGTCACTGAAACCTTCCCCGACGATTCTACAAACCCATTGTCGTGATGCTGACGACTACAGGTTTCGTGCAATTCCTTGACCAAGGAATTCTCTTCACCTCTGAGCTCCACGGAATCTTTCTGCCGTCCAAATCACTCGATCGCGTTATGCTTATCCAGGCTAGAGATAGCAAGGGCAAACACGTTGGCCTCGACGTGGTCTGCAGTGCAACAGAACCGTTCTACGAGGACAAGGAAGAAGAGGGCAGCGGAACGACTATGATCAAGTTCGGGCAGGTTGATCATGCTCTTTTAAAGGATTTGAAGGGGTATATGGAGAAGAACGATTTGCAAGTTATGGAGTGTGAGCAGTCATCCTATGACTACAAAAAGGGCAAATCAACGACCGGGTTCATGCCTATGATTTGGGTCTGAAGCTATAGCTTCGGACTATCGCCTAACTTTGACTGAGGTTTTGCAAAGCTTTGAGCTCGCCGCTTGCGTTCCCCTTACTGAGATGCGAAATGGGGTTGTTTGTAAGTTTTTTACAATTATCACAGAGTCGATATTTGTGAACGGTTTGGCAGACACTGATCTAGATGACTTCGTATAACCATTAAACCAACTTTGGGCCTACTTCTCATCTCTTATCCCTATATGCCCTTCAAACTCTCTACCATGAGAAAAGAATACTCTAGTAGCTGCAACGTGTCCTCGAACCATATTATGCTGCAACTCGACACTTGGCACCGCTTAAAGCTTTCTGTCATCCGCCTCAGAGTGGCCGTAGTTTTGGATCGTCGGTGCTGGATAAGGTGCGTAACCCGGACCTAGAAGCACCGGTAGGAGCTCACTAGCAGCAAAGGCAGTAGTCAGCAATCTGTCTGAACGTGTTTCTCTCTAGTCTTTAGTGGAAGCTAACAAGCATGCACGGGTACGTACTCTTGTCGTTGAAGTTCCAGTTGGAGTCAGCGAGATTGTAGATGCCAGGGTTGACAATATTGACGATGGAGGCTCCCGTGCATCCAGCGTTCCTGTAGGTGTGTTAGTGAAATGAGTCGTTCAGAATAGCTAGAGGGCATGCGTAGTACTAAGAAACACTTACTCCCAGATAGTGCAAGAAGTTCCCGCATCAGGCCCAAGTGATGAAACAACGTCGTTGAAACCGTTGCCCAAGTCGTCTAGATGCAGCCTGAGTTTAGCAATAATTCCCATTCCTTGCCGTGATCACGCCCTAAATGAGTGTCAACTTACAGCATTGCCCAGTGTTGGACTCCAAGTTCTGGCAACGGCCGGAGAAGTTGGCGTCGGAGCAGATGTACAAGTGCGTGATGGCCTGAACCGTATCACCCTTGGGGTTGCCGACGCTGTCGACGGGGATGTTGACGGGTCCGTTGTCTTCATCTCGGGGGATCACGCCGGCGAAGGCGGCGGTGATCAGGGTGGCGATGGTGAGAACGGACTGCATTTCGGCTTTGTCGTTGACAGAGATAGTGGAAAATATCAAAGAGGCTAGAGACTATGCTTGAAACTGTAAGAGCAGATGCTGGCTGTGGATGATGAGGTACTCAAGGGGAATGGGTGTGACACGGAGAGGTTAATATACCTCCCAAGATCTCATCTTCACTAGTTTTTCTTGGAAAAGATCTCATCGCGACCAATACCACTTTGAGCCCCCAAAAGTTGGATCTTGAGTCTAGACCGAACACCCCAAAGTTGCCGTTTCCAGTCTGGACGAAGCTACGGAAGTTCCAATATCGGCGCTGACTTGCATTCCATACCTGGAACAGCTTCCTTTCTTGACTCCGGCTACCATACTTGCGCTGACTTGCATCCAATATTCGGAGTCGCGCATGATCTATGCTCCAGGGTATCGAGTCATTTCTTGGTATGTCCGTATAGCCTGCTTACGATTCTGTGGCACCTGCCACCTGCGGGTGAACTCCCCTCTGTTATGGTATTGTGAGAAACCTGACAAAGTGGCCTCGGGCCTCGCTAAAGAAGTATCATTTTTCAAGTCAGTCTTAAACAGGAGAAATTGATGACCATGTGCGGTTGGCGTCCAGGCTGATAGTTTTGAGACTGTCCAAGCCATAGTTCGATCGTCAGTTGGCGCTTAATACAGTGTACGAGTTATGCCAGTGTCTACCCGATTCAAGCGACATCGTAGAGCTTACAGTGAAGCAACTTCCTGTAGAGCCAATTGCGCATGTAGCTAATTTATGTCTCATGCCGCTGTAACTTGGGTTCTAGCAAGCTCTCAAAGTACTATCCGTACTTTGATCTGGCCAAGTCTATAGGCCAAGGCGAAACATGTAGATTATGGGTAGGTTCAGGGCCCAAGTCAAGACGCACAGCTTGCATGAAAATGTAGCTGGATTGGCGATGCCTTTCTTGGCTTCGGAAAAGGTCATCAGGACAAGCCTTTGGGGGAAATGATGATTCTGACTGGCCACCTAGTAGGATATTGAGCTGGATAATGTTCCACAAAGGGGACAACACTGTAACATTAATTCACATAAGCAACCGGCTATCTCAACACGTGTGATGACAACATGAAATTGTCTCTTATCCCCTCTCACTCATGCATGGCGATAGTGACGGTTCATATGCACTGTGACCCTCACTTCTTCGGGCAGGTCGGTCGAACCGTGCCGCATGCAACTCAAATACCCGGCACGGGGTAAGAGGCATCAGATCCGAAGACCAGTGTCACATATGGGCAGGAAATCACGGATGTAATCTGGGATATCATTTAATTCGACCGCGTTTTGTTGTACTGGTGTGCCCGTATATGCATTCATGAACATTTGAGCCGGCCGACGGACCACGGCAGCCTCAAGACGGCAAAGATCACGACGTGGATGCTCGGTTCTGTCCCAGCCTGCTTCTATCGCCTGCAGAGTCGTATACACTCGGCTACCTACTGCAAGTCTTTTTTGGAGTCCTGTAGTTACATACAGGATTCGACTCACCTCTCTCTACTTGGCTTCTTCTTCTCGAGCGATTTGGAGACTCGAACGGCAAGCACATGGGGACAAGCCTACACATAAATGCGAATACTGGGCGGTCAGTCTGAGTTCAAGACAGAACAATGGAAACACATCCCTCACGTCCAACGATCGAGCTTTACATTGTGCTCGCACTTGCAGGGACCTGTATTTCCAATATCAACCTGCTTTACACCACATTGACCGCGAAACTCTAATGTATGATGGCATGCATCAAAAGGTTTCAGCCGAATGCATATAATTAGTTATGCTTATATATAGACTAGGGTGTTCTTGTTAGCGACTTGAGAGAATTCGTAAAAAGCTCCATAACAGACTCAGAAATGCAGAGAAAAAGCAAAAGAATAATCAACCGCGTGATGCATCCGCCGGTAATCGAAACCGGGTCCCTTGCTAACCAGGTGTTAGAATGGAAGGCAAGGATGATAACCACTACACTACAGATGCGGATGTTGGTGTTCGGGAAACACCGGGATTGTTGCCGGTGGATGTAAAAGGCCCGATATGTAGCTAGTTCGTTCCACATCCGTGTCTTTGTCGTGGGATCCACAACATGCAGGCTTTGGAAGTCATTTCATTGAGGCGGGCGATGGGGAAGGGCACTTTACACGGACACACCTGGGGTTCCTAATATGAAGGCACATCACCCTCTATCAACTCTTGAACGTATTTGATAGGACTAGCTATAATTTGATCAAGATTCTTTGATTCGTGAAATTCCAGTCAAATTTGACGGCTGATCAGTTGGTCCATGTTCTCCTCAGCTGATTGTCCTACTCAGAGGCAGGCTCATCCGCCAAGTCAACCTGAAAAACACCCTTCGAGAACCTCACAACCAAGTCCCTTGCCTCCGTCTCTGGATCCTCGACATTCCATCTCTCCTTGTCTGTTTCCCATGTAAACTTGGTTATCCGACGGCTCTTGCCATCATCTCCTGCAGGCTCGACCGTGATCTTGCCCAGAGTGTATCCAGTCCAACTCCGGGCAAAGACGACGCTCTCCTCGCCGTCCTTCTCGAGGTGGACAATGACCCAGCGGTCGTCCATATCCTGTGGTGTGAGTCCCTTCTTCATGCGCTCCCACCCATCTGCGGGGATGATGCGCGCCTCGTCCCAGCTCGACGACGCCGGCTTCGAGGGCTCCCACTTTGCGTTATCGTCGCTCATTGTTTTGGTAGATTCCTCGGCGGTGCGGGGTCGTACAGTGCAAATCTGTCGAATGTCGCACGCAAGTATTGATTGAAGTTTGACGAAATGGTTCAGGGTGGGAATTCGACGAAGTTGGGCGATGGAATACTTGCCCAAAAGCTGTACGACCTCAGATATATGTAGCTTGGATTGACTAGGCTTCTGCCTGCTCCAGTTTGAGTTTCCCCTCCTCGTTGCCTGCTGATATTGACGCTTGTCCCCAAGCTCTCTTACGAGATGACTCAGACGAGGCATTCTTGTCAGCTTCAACCAGCTTGTCTGCATCTTGCCGTCACAATTGGTCAACGCCTGCCATGCAAAGAAAAACCGGCTACTTGTGCAGCCTTGATGGCCAGCGTGATGATAGCCTATCACTGAGTTATGAAGTCGCGACCAAAGACGAGTCCCCTGGAAGCTTGTTTTTGCGCAACCCGACAATCCAGGGGCCACTGGCGCGGTTTTAGTCATCAACTATTCGGTGCATCCATAGCCAATCCGTCAAGACACCAATGAATCTATGGGCTCTTGGCAACATCTTCTGTTCATCCCGGAATTCTTCAGCTTATTGTCCGAGGATGCCTTCCAATGGCCATCTCTTCGACTTCTTGTCAGCATCGGATCCGGCGATTGTGAGGTCGACGTCAAAGGCGCGAGTCTGCAGACTTCATTAGCGTTGTAGATTTGGCGAGAAAGACGCCTGAACTCGACGAGGCTTCAGGCCCCGTTCTAGAAGAGGCACAGCTCCAAGGGCTGCCGCCACGGCGAATCCCCTTTTGATCTTGGGCAATGGCCATAGCTCCAGGAGCACGATGGGTGTTCGCGAAGACGGATGTTTTTTGTCCTGAATGACTGGGACTAACGGCGACCTCAGAATGTCTCGGTAAGCCCTCTCTTTGGTTCCCGACAACCTGGGTTCTTTAGCGTCGCTATCCAGGCGTCCAGGCCTTTCCAAGCACGGCCTTTCCACAGACCGTGAGAAAGGACGGGAAATGGTCCCTTATTACATCGGTGCTGGCTCGACTCACTTATGGCCTGAGACAGGCACAGCTGCCATGCCAAATGCGGGCGACCTCGTCCGGAAACGGGCCGCTGTGATCTAGCCAGTCTCTAGTAGTCAGCACCGCCTGGAATGGCGTTAGGTCTGGTCAAAGCGCTCGAGCATTTTAGCTTCGTAGGCGACGCGAGATGTGTTAGTCGTCGCCTCGCCGCACAAAGGGTCGATAGTCTCTTGGTGGCGTTAGAGATATCGTCCATCGGTAGCCCCGCGGTCACAATGAAGATCCCAAAGAGGTGGACGGTAGTATGAATGAGTAGAACCAGACATAAAACCGGACGAGAAGACCATGGGAAGTGTTTCCAAAGACCAAGAGTATCGACTCCAATTCAATCCTTCTCTAGTATCCAGGGTCTCTACGAACCGTTTATTCTTTTCAACATGGGTATCTCTTCGTTGACCACGTTTCTTCTTTCATCCACATTTTTTCTCCAAGCCCTTGCCGCGCCTGCCAATGCCGGCCCAACGGTTACGATCGCCTCCGGTGTCGTGCTTGGCACCACGGCCCAACCCGCATCGGCAACCGGAACCGCCAATGCCTACATGGGAATCCCATTTGCCAAGTCTCCCCCAGAACGGTTCTCTCCTCCCCAAGCCGCGGATGCATGGTCGTCTCCACTGTCGGCTCAAGCTTTCAAGCCAGCATGTATCCAACAATTCGCCGAGAAGGGCAACGCCCAAACGTTGCAGAAGGCCTATTTCGGAAACCCAGCTGGTTCTCTTACCGATGAGAGTGAGGACTGCTTGTACCTCAACGTCTTCACTCCTACGGGTACAACATCTACCAGCAAGAAGGCTGTTATGTTTTGGCTGTTTCCCGGTAACCTTCAGTTTGGCACTGCTAGTCTGCCCATCTACGACGGTAGCTCGCTTGCTGTCTCTCAAGATGTTGTAGTGGTCACGATCAACTACCGCACCAACAGTAAGGGCTCTCTACTCATGACTAGTCACCAGCCGTGCTAACCAGATACTCTAGTCTTTGGCTTCTCCAACTCTCCTGAGATTGCCACTGGATCTCAGAACTCGGGGTACCTTGACCAGCGTTTCGCTCTTCAATGGGTGCAGAGCAACATCGCTCAGTTCGGCGGCGACCCTTCACGCGTCACCATCTTTGGAGAGTCTGCTGGTGGTGAATCTGTGAAGCAGCTCCTCGCTAACCCGCCCAGCCCTCTTCCCTTCTCGGCTGCCATCATGGAGTCACAGCAGTCCCTCCTTGTGGGTTCCGGCTCCGACAGTTACTCCAAGGTCCTGAAGAACTTCAACTGCGCCGACATCAAGTGCCTTCGTCAGGTCTCAGCCACAGATATCAAGGCATACATTGAAGCCCAGTCCCTCGTTTTCCCTCCCGTCAACGGTGATGGTACATCCATCAACGACGTCCGCAACAGCATCTCTTCCAAGAAGTGGCCCAAGATCCCCGTCATCATGGGTACCACCCTCAACGAGGCCCGCGTCTTCCTCGCTATGGAGGGCTTGAATGACGGAGCCTCTGCCATGAGTTCGGTGCTCTCCCAGATCGGTATCACCTCTGCTATCACAAAGGCCGCCATTACGACCTCCTACGCCGCAAAGGCTATCAACGATCCCTACGTTCTCGCCGACAGAATCATGACCGACGCTATCTTCACTTGCACAACATCTACCTTGGCAAGCTACCTCGCCATCAACGGCTACACTGCCTACCGCTACCGCTACGATCCGGTCTTCGCGTCTACTAGCATCTTCGCCAACCCAGGCTCCTACCACACTAGCGAGATCCCCTCCGTCTTTGGCACATACCCCGCCTACAGCAAGTGGGGTTCAGCGACTGCGCAACAGACGAAGCTCAGTTCCTATATGCAGGGCGTCTGGGGCGGCTTCGCCAAGAACCCCAACGGCGGTGTCGGATGGCCCAAGATCGGAAGCGCTCTTGGCTTTGAGTTGGGACTCTTAGGCTCTGGTTCGTCGAGTGGTGTGACGGTGTCGGCAACCCTTGCGGCGGATTACGCCTGCGCTATATACGCGCCGTTTACGGAAGCCGCCGGTTTTTCTTACTGATTTACTTGAATTTGAGGGGAGTTTGGAGTTTAAAAGGGTTCAAAGAATGGAAAGGGCAGTCTACATACGATGTCTCGTTGATAGGAGAATTAATTAAGGACTCAATAATGAGATGTCGTTTGATCCTGTAGCGGTAGAGTAGCTAGCGACAAATTTGTTAGACTAGAATCTACTTCTGTGTCGTCAATTCCCTTGAAGTACCTTTTGCCCCTTTCCTGTTCTTCTTTACCCCGTTCAACGTCGTCTCGTTGCAGTGGGCGGCATAAGAGGCGACAGAGTACAGGTATTTTGGCATGACCAGCTAGTTGCCCCTCCTCATAGCCTCAACGTGATCCTTCACCACCGTTGAAGTCTTCGACCGTACTGAAACAGCTTTGGCTGTAATGAACCAACATCTACCTTAGATGACTGTTTCATCGTTTTGGTTGTCCCTACCCAAAACCTTTCTCCTGGCAAAAAGTTGTCCACTTTGTGCCAACCGCCCATTGTGACATGCCTATCATGAACAAAAGGCAGTGCCGCCAAGTCATTTCATAACAAACGACATTCAGTTAGGACAAGACTTTGTTCGAGACAAAGACTCGCAATGAAGACGCAGCATTTAACAAGCTCGAAGCTGCCAACTTCGTAAACTTGCCCGCTCAATTCACATTACCCTACAAACCAAACCAGCAACTAACATATCTTCAGTGTTCCCAATCGTATCACAATGGCTCAATCATATTTCGAAAGCAATATTGCCACCACCGCCCTGAAGGATCAACTCAGAGCGGTGCAAGCTAAGAACGCCACTAAGAAGCCCGAATGGGCCAGTTCTGACCAAAATGAGCAGCCAGTGTCGACCAAAGAACCTCGACCGCTGCGCCTCGTCGAGAAGTACAACAAAGACAAAGCTAACTCTTCGACCAATCAGAAGACCCCGGATTCCCATAACACAAGCGCTCAGACGGCCGATATCTCCGCCGAAACCCCATACTGCAGCGGCGCTATCCAGGGCGACTTGCCGATCCAGATGGTTGACGCCGAGAATGGACAACAGCTCCCGGCGCATTCTTGTCGACAGAACTCAGAGCACCTCTATGTCCACGAGGAAGCGAGTACTGATCATGTAACTGACCAAGGTAGGCAGCTAACCGACAATGAAGAACTGCCGCCAATCAAGACATTCTGGGAGAAGGTCGAGTCTGCGCTGTACCTATACCAGTTGCGAACCCATGGTGACAACGAGGAGCACCCCTTCTACCGTGCTAGGGCCAAGGCTTTCTCCATGCATAAAGCAGTCGGCATCTTTGCAGGGTTTTCAGCGAGTCTGTTCTTTTCAGTCGGGATATATCTCGCCAGAGATAACATTCAACCTCCCTTGAATCTCCCCTTTATGTTCACCTGGATCGCTTTCAGCGGTATTGTAGTCCTCTGGGCCATGGTGGCTATCATTCTGATCCAATGGTCTAAAAGAGGACTCAAGCACGACTTGGAGGTTGCCAGAATGAGAGACGCTTTCAATGCCACCACTGTTGGGGATGCTGCTTCAGAGGGATGTTTCGTGAATGGTGTGCGTTACGAGGGCGAGCAGCGTCCCAAGCCGGACTCCATCACAAATGAAGCTATCCAGCGAGCAAATGGTCGAGAAGCCCCGGAGGTTTCTGATTCTAGTACGCACTCAAGTCTTGACGTCATCCGTGAGTCGAAAGGAAACTGGGCTGACAGCACAAAGGAGGAGTTATCGAAGTTGCCTGGAACACCAGAGTAAGAGCGTGCTTGATTCGGTGATCGTGGACAGGGTGAATAGGGTATAGAATTTGTTGGAAGAATGACTACGCGATTGGCACACATAAATTTCCTTTTCTCATCCCATGTTGCAGCGAATACTCAAGAGACCCGGAAAAATGGTCTCCGATATCTGCTTTGGAACCTAAAATTTACCTTGTTATTCAGGCAGAGTAACGAGTGTGCCAGAAACCCTAATCTTCCATGGGTTTGCATACATCAGTAAATACTTCCTGTAATCTTTCGACGATGGGCAGGCGCGTTCGGCCTGTTATTGGGGTTTCGCTGGGGAAGGAGCATTCTTGGCAACGACTTACAAGCCTTGGACGACGTCGAGACGGAATGGACTGTAATAGTCAGACCACGCAAGTTCCGAAGAACTTGACTCATCAATTGCCGGATGTTTCTGTACGGTCCGAGGTTATTTCTCCAGATTGTTGATCACCCCGTAGTTGCATATGTTTTGCCCACTTTCTTGCCTGACCACGTGTCTGAGAGATGATGGGCATCATAAAGTTTAAACGGATCGATTTGAAGTTGTCCAAATGCGGAAAACCTATTTGAGACATGAAAGTAAACATTGAATTGGGTTACTGTAACTGGGATGCTGGAATGGAGGATGATTGCTGATGGCAACTCAACATTCCTGGGGTGGTTTGACCCTGAGTCAATGTGGTGCAGGATTTAACCACAGGCATCTCTTTCTTGTCTTCTCATTTTCCTGACGATAACTTCACCTTCTTCAATTGTGGAAGCCGCCCGGTCTTTCCTTCCCTCTGGGAGAAAAAACTTGCTCACCGCGGACCCGTGGTGTTGTGGGTGCCTGGAGGCAGACGCGTCTTCAACCTTTGAACCGCGTCAATCTTCCCACCCAGAACAACATGGAATAAGACTTTACTTCTCCCAAAGCCAGCACTCTCTTTTCCCCATCGCCAAACGGCTTTTCCTTTCGTTTGTCAAAGCTCAAGGCTATTCCTTCATTCCCACAACATCCTCTTTGTCATTCATTTTCCGTCACTCTCTTTTTTCCGAATACCCTCACTTAGAGGATTCGTCACAGAGCATTCACATCCGCGAGCAAAGAATGTCGCTGCCACCGCAGGCCTCTTTCAGCTCTGCCACAACTGCGGTCGCCAGTCGTGGAGCGGCATACCCTTCTGTGGAGGAATTCACCTCCTTCAAGCTGCCGAACAAGCCGAGAATCATCAAGACTCTCACTAGCAATGACATCTCAGACCTTTCCGATGAGCCGGACAGTGCGCCTCGCCCTGCGATGAACCCCTCGACGCCCATTCCTCCTTCTCCCATGTCTTCGGAGGAGTCTGATCGGGTCATCGACCTCAATTATACTCCGCTCACCGTCCGAGGCAAGAGCATGATCTTGCCTCAACACCCTCTTAGCGGCAAAGCCAAATCTCCTCGCTGGCCCTTCCAGAACGCGACACCCCGCACCTCGACTATGGTGCCCATTGTCCGAAGCTTCACTGGAACTTCCAGCCGATTCGACCACAATCCCAGAGACGACTACAATCCAGCGGTTGAGATCAGCGTCACCGAGTCCCTAGACGAGTTCCAGATCAACCATCCCAACGGCCGCTTGCTTGCGTCTCACCCTCAAGGCCTATCTGTTCACGAGACTGGGTGCAACCTGACCGGTCGCAACTTGGCCAACATTCCCACCCTAGTCGAGCAGCTTCAGCAGGATGCTCACTCAATCAAGGCCGTTTCTTCCAAGCACCGACAGAGACCCCTCGAAGTCTTCTACCGCCGTTGCAAGAGCTCCCAGCTCCTTAATCTTCAGATCCTCCGACGCCGCCAGGACAAGCGAAAGAAGGATTTCGAGACAGACACCACTTGGTACCAGCGCATCAGTCTCGATGATAATATCTATGTCGGGTCCGTCGTCCTTACTCTCTTCTTCGTCACCCAGACGGTTGTCTCCATCACTGTCAGTTTGACCATGGTAGCTTCCCAGATGAGCATCCCTTACTTCGTCGTTGTCTGGGTCATGGTGAGCCTCATCGTCATGATCTTCACTGTGGTTATGAGCCTTCAAATGCGCTCTTTCCGCAAGAAGACCAACGCTCTTATTGACGATGAGAAACGAGTTCGCTCGACTACCTTTCCCAAGCTCTCTCATGAGGGTCATCTTCACCTGCCTGCCGACGCTGCAGAGATCGCTCATCGCCGTCAGATTGCCGCCGCCCTTGCGAATGAGCAAGCTCATGCAGGCAGCTCGACCGAAGAGTCCGAGAAGAGTTCTGATGGAACCGTTATCACCCAGCCGCCCGCCGTGTTCGACCCATTCGCCCCGGCTATGCTCCGCGACACCAGCAGCGTCTACCTCTCAGCCAGCGGCACTTCGCCCCAGGGAATCCAGGATTCCAACGACACAGCTTGGCAGAACGTTGATGCCGCGGCGGTCGGAACCTCCCGCACTAGCTCCATGACGGCCGTCGTCCCTGCGGCTCCCGCCAACCTCCAGGCGAGCAACCAGGGATCGAGCTGCTAGGACCGGTGCGAGTTCCGGATGCAACCTTACGGCAGAATTCCCATCATGAAATATATTTGAGGAGCCAGTCTTCTGTGTTTCGGGCGTTCCTACTGGGGAAAGGACATGGAATTTTTGACAAGGGAGTCTGGATGGAACATGGAACGGCGATTGATTTGTGAAGATACCCCTTACCGCACGGAGATGGAAACGGTTTCGGTTTTATTCGAGGTTTTGATGTAGGAATATGGTTCAGTCACTTCTAGGCAGGGCAGTCAGACATGGCTTTCAAACACTTGTGCCTCTTTCGTCTTGCGCCACCTTTCTTGTGAGCTTGTCTGTGCATAGTTGCGATTATCGTTCTGCTTCCTCATCCGCTCGTGTTGGCCAGAATGAGACGACCAGCGGGATCAGCACACATGCTGCGCCATATTCAGCCAATGACCGGTAAATACAGAGCCTTGCAGCTTGTTATTTTCATCCACTTGGCATGCCAAGGTAACGCCGGCGGTTGCGTTGCATGTTGAGGCAGTCGGTTGGCTCGTCGCATAAACTTGATTGGCCGTTGGTTGCCTATCTGCCCTTCGCCCGTTAGCTGCCTGATTCATGCAGATGTGCAGTATTGTGCATCCCCCCAACCCCCTCATCCAGATTCCTCATCGACTTTCTCATCTTTTCCCAATCCATCTCACAAAATCTCAGACTTTTTACGTCAAAATTGCCGCGATATCAATCCCCTAACGTCCACCAGATTTGCTCCGGTGCCTTCTTTTCGACTATGTCGGCGCAGCCGCTGGAATCTCACAAGATGAGGAAAATGGCTTGGCTCGAGAGGCTAAGACGTAAGGGGAGACTCAAGGATGATGCTATGTTAGCAGACCCCGGATTGTCCCCAATGGCATCCTCATCTCACTCTCTGACCAATCCAAGCGAGGCTTCTTTCGAATGTCCGCCCGAGCCATCTCCAGTGCCGACGGATGTCGAGGAGGGTGTTGACAGCATAAGCAACGCTACCCCACTGAATTCGGTATCGACACCAGCTGAAGACACCAGACCGAATCTGACAAATCTTTGGGAGAAGGCGATGCAAGCCATGCAGGATGGTCCCGATTCAGAAAAGCGGGAGCTCGCCCAGCAATATGCTGAGATCCTGGCCTCGAAGCTAAATGGGTCTGAAGGTGGGCTTGGAGCCGAAGGTCCAAGTCATCTCAAGTATGAACAAGTCGCAGAGATATTGAACGCGAAGGTGGAAGAACTGAGCCAAGAGCGGCTGGCCGTTTCCCTTGGAAGTCGCGAGTTGTCTATTGAGCCCTTGTTCAACAATGTATCGAAACACATCATCGCCGCAAAGGACCTCATAAGCAGTGCCGCCGGGGCCGACCCTCACGCCGCTCTTGCTTGTGCCGGAGGACTTGTCATTCTAACAGTTCGTTGTGCCACCTCATATACTGAAAGCTCATTCTTGGCATAGCACGACTAACGTCCGAGCAGTTCCTCGTCCGTCCCATAGAGCAGAGAGAACATATACTCCGAGGTCTTGAACTGACATCTTCTCTCATCTGTCGATACTTCGCGATGGAGCAGGTTTACCGCCCTCAAGCCCGCATGGAGAGTCTACCAGCAGAGTCAGCCAGAAGGCTCGAGTTGGATCTAGAACGCAACCTAGTCAATCTTTACACCAAGATCATTGAGTTCCAGGCACGAGTACTCTGTTATCTACAACGCAGCCGTCCGACCCGATTCATTAGAGACGTATTCAGGGGCGACACGTGGAAGGCCTTGATTGAAGAAATTGAAAGGCTGGATGCTCAGTGCCGAGCCATCGCGGAACTTATTACCCATGACAAAATCCTCGCCTTTATCGAGTCGCCCTCTCAAAAGACTGAACGAGCTATCGTTATGTTTAATCTTCCAAAACCCGTCTCGAATGATCTACTCAGAAGAAGGACAAAGCTTTTGAACAGGCTTTACACCTGCCCCTATCGTGATCGCAAAGACATCAATCCCGAGAGGGCTCCAGGGACCTGCGAATGGTTCGCCGAGCATGAATATTTCCGCGATTGGAAAGCCGCATCAGAATCCAGGATGTTGTGGGTTTCGGCTGATCCTGGCGCTGGAAAGTCGGTGCTTGCAAAGTACTTGGTAGATGATGTCTGTCCAAGCACACCAGATCGAACAACAAGCTACTTCTTTTTCAAAGACGGCTTTAACGACCAGAGAAGTGCTTCAGCTGCTATGTGCGCAATACTGCGACAGGTCTTGGAACAGAATAGCGAGTTGATGGACGAAAGCACCATGGCCAAGTTTGAGGCGGATGGTGATTATTTGCTCAACTCATTCTCAAGACTTTTCGACATCCTGCTTGAGGCCGCTACAAAAGTCGAAACCGAAGTCATCTGTCTGTTCGATGCTCTCGATGAATGCAATGAAGAAGACTGCCGCCAAGTGACATCGACTCTGGCCAAATTTTACAAGAACCCCCCGGACCACAGTCGTCTTAAATTCATCATCACGTCTAGACCGTACACCAGAATACAACGCAGCTTACAACCACTTGAGAATTCTCTACCAACTATTCATCTAAGAGGCGACGATGAGTCTAATACAGAACGTATTTCCGGTGAGATTGGCATCGTCATCCGTCATAGGCTACAGGATATCGCCCAGATCCAACTTCTTGAAGCAAAAGAGATCAGTTTGCTTGAGGAAAGCTTATTGACTTGGCAACATCGAACATACTTATGGGTCAAACTAGCGATCGATTTCATCGAAAGTCGCTTGGAGTCCCCTACAGAAGAGAATGTCAAGACCATCTTCAGCAGCATACCAGAGAAGCTGGACGGGCTATATGAAAAGATTCTTGAACAAAGTGCAAACAAGGAAAGAGCTCGAAAGGCTTTTCACATCATTCTTGGGGCCTACAGGCCTCTGAGTCTGTCCGAAATGTCAGGAGCGCTCTGCGTCGAAAGTCATCACCAGAATACCTCTCAAACATGTCAAGAGCCCATCAAGAGATTCCCGTCATACCTGAGAGAAATTTGCGGCTTATTCGTGACTATTGTAGACGGGAACGTCTACCTGCTTCATGAAACTGCAAGAGAGTTCTTAGCCTACAGAACTGGACGCGAAGCTCTCCAATCAACTTGGCTACACTCGATTAAGCCCAAAGAGTCGCATTTCATCATGGCCAAAGCTTGCGTTTGGTATCTCCTCTTGGAGGATCTGAACTCTCCAGATGCGCACATGTCCGCCTTTAGAGAGTATGCCCTCATTCACTGGTCCCGTCACGTTGGGGAATGCGAGGAGGAGCATTTCTGCGGCATTGATTCTTTTGGAAATAACATGGTATCTCTGTGTAAGACTATAGCAAGCAACGACATGACGAAGAGGAGGTGGATGTGGCGCCTGAGCCATGCGAGGCACACGAATGGAGAAGAACGCTACTGGGTCAGAAAGCATAGAATGGCTTTAGAAATGTACAGAGATCTTGACGACTTGAGCCCCTTGACCTTTGCTACACAATTCGGTCTTAAGTTGGCAGTCTCGAAACTACTACTAGAAGACCCTCGCAGTGGTTATAAGGTTTGCGCGAGTGGCAGAACAGCACTTTGGTGGGCAGCTTGCTATGGGCACACAGACATCATTCGTCTTCTTCTCAGCAAATATACCGACTCTGAATACGCGGGAATCGCCCTGAATTGGCGGCAAGAAGGAGATACACCTTTGGTAGTTGCGATTCGAAAGAGACACAAAGCTGCAGTGGCTGCTCTGCTTCGAGATCCCAGGACTAGCTTTGCCGCTCCCTGTGGCACCATGCCGAAATGGAAACCGGTGCACTATGCAGCCAATGACGAAGATTTATTCCAACTACTACTTGCAGACCAACGCACCTTTTCCGACTTCACTGATGAAGATCAACACATTCTACTGGAAAAAGTGTTTGAGTCCGGCAGCGTGGAAAGGTTCAAGTCTTTACTGCACGATGGCCGCTTTGAAAACGGATTTTGCTCAGCAGACCCGCAAGATGGGCGAACTTTGTTCTGCAAGCTTGCGGATCTCAGTTCGAACACTGGCTACGGTGTGTCTGGTGCAGTTTGCGTTGACATGATGAGACTTCTTCTCGAGACTTATCGAATCGATGTCGCGAAGCCTGACCATAAAAACAGATCTCCCGTGTCTTGGGCAGCAGGCAATCGGAGTGATACGACAGTCCTGTCCTATCTCTTATTTGAACTGCGCCTCGAACCTGACGATCTTGATGACCAAGATCGAAGTCCATTATCGTACAGCGCAGAGTTGAAGGGTTTCAAAGCAGTTGAGAAGATGAAGGTCTTATTTCAAACAAACAGAGTCAACGTCAATTCTGTGGACAGCCATGGTCGAACCCCTCTCATGATAGCAGCAGATATCAGCCACCTCGATTCTCGGAAATACTGCAGTGCATACCATACCGGTAACAAGGCCGCATTCTTTTTACTAAATCACGAAGCGGATATCAATATTCGAGACAACCGAGGAAGAACTGTCTTGACATACGCTACGGGCGGTAACGCGCTCGGACTTGTGAAAGACTTGATCAAGCGTGGAGCAGCAGTAAACTTGAAAGATATCGATGGTCGTACAGCGCTGTCCTTTGCGGCGCAGTTTGCGAGCCCAGAAGTGGTCGCCGTGTTGCTGAACGCAGGTGCAGAACCATGCTTGAGTGACAAAGAAGGGAGAACGCCTCTTTCATGGCATCAGAAAACGAGAGACTTGATGTGTTTGGCTCCGGCACCTGATGAAAATAATACCTTTCGTTTTGTACATAGAAAAGCGGAGGCAGAAGTACAGACATGCAGGACGTGTGGTTGGGCAGGTTTGGATCACGACGAGCGCAGCAAGAAGATTGAAGGCCTTCTTGCAGGCAGATCCGAGTATCCCTCGCTTGGTTTTGAACGTCCCAGTTGACCAAGATTCGATTAGGTCGCAGGGCCATGCATTCGACCGACCGACAACATGACATGAAGCAACATGACTTTCAATCAACTGACCCTCCATCGCCCACAGAACCGAACAGATCAAACTCAACATTTACTGCGCGGATACAAATACCTTGCCTAGTTGGAACCAACAGTAGTCACACTTCTAATTGTGTAGGGCTGGAGCCTATGGGATACGCGGGCGACAGGCAACAGCGGCAGCTAGCATACCCAATTTCTACGACCCAATATGATATTCTTCACCAGATTTACAATGGAATCCATTCTGAATTGAAGTGAGAGTTTCCCTTAGTGTTTCAAATTTCTCTCGGTCAATGTCGAATCGGCCTATATGTCTTAATGTTTCTTAACAAGTTTTCGCGGTTTATCCACATCTTCCTCGTCAGACGAAGAAAGCAATGCTTCATCTTCCAGAGCCCAGTCGTCTAGTGGTATATCCTCCGCCTGTAACCTCGTATACTTCCTGTTTCTATACTTCTTCACAGCCACGACTGCCCCAATGACAGCTCCCGATAGCACTGCGATGATCAACCCCATGAAGACCCATCTCCTCCATCCTCTTAAACAACACGGGTACAAGGACATGTAAATTCCGACTCCCCATTCCATCCATCCCATTTTGCGCCTCTGGTCTGGCTTTAGGCCTTTTCTGACGAGATGCTTGTGTCGTGGGCCAGTTGGGCCAGACTCAATCCTCTTAAGTCCGAACTTCGGGACGATTTCCTGGCGGGGATCGGAAGCTGGGTACGCTATGTCTCCCCATCGGCCGGAGTAGTAGAAGAAGGATGTCAAATTCGAGGAAGGTGGTGGAGCTGGGGATGACTTGGCTGGTGGATCTAGTCTGGTGACTGTGAAGGATTCTTTATCGAAGTGGTAGAAATATGCTGAGAGAATGGGGTCCCATCTTCTTCCTTCGTCGCAGTAGTCGACCAAGACAGAGTTGTGTATTTGATTCCTAATTCATGGGTTAGTCTAGTCCTTGTGTTCACTTAAGAAAACACAAAACTTACCCCCTGGTTGGATAATTGGCATGCGATCCGCGTGCGCTATACACAATAGGCTTTCCAAAGTTAGCATATCTCCTTGTCATTGACTGAGAGACTAGGGCCACTAACCCTCCCGTCGGTCTTTGTGAGAGCCGAATCGTCCCACTTGAAAGAGGCGCCATCGACGTGCTGACTGTAGTAGATTCCTGTCGGTTTCCCATCCCTGAAGCGAATCATGTTATGCTCCCAGTCCCCAACATGATCACCGAAGTGCATCCCTGACTGCGCCTTCTCGCCCTTGACCATCCGGTTGAATGGTTCTAAAACTTGGCTGATGTTCATGCCCTCGTTGAATGAGTAGAAGTAGAAGTAAAAAGCATCCAGGTCTCGCTCTCCCTTCTCGACGAGAACCACAACGCATGGTGTGGCATTGCTGATCCTGCCATCGGCGTCGGGAGTGGCACCATGAATCCATTCCGGGTAGCTCAGTGGATCATCCTTCGAGGTGAGAGCTACTTCGTCTCCAAACTTGTTGAGTGACTCCAAGTTGTCCAGGTCGAGAGTTGGGATATCCGGAATAGTCTTTCCGTCTAGTGCCGGGGAAGTGTGTTGGATGTGCGTCAAGAGGTCGCTAGGCATGTATGGGTCGTCAGAGTGAAGCCAGATGAGAGGCGCTACATGTCATATTAGATCTCTCTCGAACTCGAACGCCAACCATAGCTTTCAAGGTAATATGCCAGCATCGAATACCTGACTGACTTACCGTGCTGGATGACGTAATCGGGACACCGGAGATCCGCGCCGATCGCCGGCCCGGCGACAGTGGAGCATATCAAGAAGCCGATGAGGAGACAGATTCGCTGCGTTGAGAATGCCTGCTTGAAAGCAGGCGCTGAAGCAGCCATCTCATACACAACTTCTTGAATAGTGACGGAGAATTTTGGAGGAGATGTGCAGTTGTTAATCGCAAAACTCAAAAGTGTCAGACATCCTGTGCTTATTCAGCAAATGCGTGCATGCACGCCATCGAAGGCAGCAACAGCATTGGGCGGGAACCTCGGGATCCGGGAGCTGCCCGGAAGGTTCGGAGTGGAGCCAAGCGCTGCAGGCCCCTCCTTTGCTATGTCCGTCTTGATATCCGTCCAAACGTTTATTCCCCACTATGGATGCTCTTACTACGCATCACGGATTCCCGCGGCTTTTGGTTCCGGGGACGAGCAATTTGGCGGGGGGTTAGTGGGGTGATGTCACGTAAAAACATTCCTCTTCTCTTCTTTTTTCGAATTTTAACTCATGATCGTTCTGCGGGTGGTCTCTGGCGGGTATTGCCGTTGAACAGAGAACATGAAATGTTTAAATCCTAAGCTTTGATGCATCAAGATCGCTTGGCGCTTGAGGCAATTCCGAGGTGCCCGTTGTTATTGGCTTGCGAGTCCTTTGGCTTTCTTATACTCTTGCGATGCGAGTACGGGTATCAGAATTCACGTCTTCATCGGCTCAAGCATCCATTAAGCAGGTTCATTGCCCTCAAATGGGTCCTCCTGTCGCATGGACATACTCATTGACTCATGTAGTCGGCGATGTCGTTTTCGTTAATCTTTTTCGTTAATCTCAATCTACTTGTCAATGTGCATACATATGAATGCTAGACAGGAGGCTATTCAGTCCATACTCCAGGTAGAGCAGACTTTTCGGTATCGCTAGTTTCGCGGTACAGTACTTGTCATTATAGGCGGCTCTCGAAATATACGGAATGGTTTCTCAGATCTATGAGAGCGTAGCAGCTGTACTTGTCGTATTGATACAAAAGTTAGATCTAAGTTAACTTAGCTTCCCGGCCGGGAACCTTGAAAGGTTGTAAAGACGACAATGAAGTTGAACTAATCTTTACCGAGACCGAAGGTCTAAAAAGGTGGTAGTAGAGAATTGCTGCCGAATGTTTCATCCGATCACACAGAATAAGATGAAGACTTGCAAATCGGCGAATTGTGTATGTCGATCAATTGTTCCTAGAATCTAGCTGCCGTCTGGGTAATGGTGCCTGGCAAGTGTACATCGATAAGCTTTGGATTATCCAGGATCTTCCACTTTCACACTTGCCTATTTTCCTTCAATCAGGTAGTTCTTCTAGGTGGTATTGAATTCCAGATGGCTCAGTACTTATTCAAAAATCATTTCCTACCAAACTGCAAAGGACTTCACATCGCTGTGTGCCATGCGCTTTCGGCATGTGGGGTGATACAGGCTGCGAGATCCTGCCGTGCAAATCTCATTATAAGAAACCAAAAGGATGGAGCTTGCTGGTGCTATTGAGGCGGAGATCGCCGTCCATCACCCAACCCTACCGAGTTCAGCCTTGGCAAACTTGTAGCGTGTTTGTCTGGCTTGTCTCACCCATCCCAGGCTGACTGACAGTAATATCAAACAAGGGACTTTGGTGCGTGCGGTCAGATCCCGGGGCGTCCCCAGATTCGACCCCGGTCTTACAAGGCGTCTTCGCGGAGGGTGCGCCACATACGTTTGCTCAAAGTTCCAACGTGGTAGCAACCGTCATCCCACTCCCACCATCCCTCGCAGAACAAAAGGATCGACACATTATTGGCTGAAGAGAGCTCCCCAAACATTTTTGCTCAATTGACATTCCGGTACTTTGTCGCAGGCCAAGCTTCTCTAAGCTTTTTGCGCCATGGGAGGAAGAGACATCCTCCCCTCCTGTGCCACGCGACCAACGAGAGCAAGGTGAACTACCCCCTCAATGGCCAGACAGACAGGCCATTGCAGCTTTTTACAGCATAAGCTGCATGAAATAGCCTGTCACGCCAGTAGTGACCCCGCATAGAATCGAAGGGAGCTGTAGCAGCATTAGGCCGATTCGGGGCGCTCGCATATCACTACCCTAAGATCAGAGGCGTCGAGAGTCTACCTGATGGCCTAGCTATCCAGGCTTTGTTTCAATGACTTCGCTTCACTGGTCTGCCTCGGTGGCCGGGATGCAATGTGAGATGTTGCCATGATGTACAACTCATACGACCATGCCCGCTCATCACCCTCCCTCCTGAAAGTATGCCCTCCAGCCGTCCCCTTGCTCCCACCAACCCAACCAACACCCCGGCTATGTGCTCAGCCGACGCCCGCTACTTTGAAGTACATGTTGGTGATGAGACAGGGTGATTCAGATGACAGGGACGGCCCCTCAGACGTTGGACGGGTAATTCTGGATATTTAATCTGAACCCCCCTCCCTTCGGACGGCTTGAAGCTATCGAGCGGCACGGTGCAACCGCGTCACTCACGGCAGCCACTTTCTCGAGCGCACAGCTTCATTCCAGCCTTGCACAGGAATTCTCCATCGTGAACCACGTCCATCATGGCGGAACCAGAGAAGAGGATCGAGACGGACTCGCCGTACGTAGCCCCCAGCCCAATATCCCCAGCCACCATTCCCGCGTCAAGTTCCTCTGGGACGCAACTTACACAAACCCTAGGATCCACAAAGACGGCGTCGAGCACCACGACGAACGCAAAAAGTCCATCGCGGAACTCACCCAGAATCTCGAGGGCGAGATCAAGAACCCCCTCAAAGGCATCCCCAAAGCACAACTCCTCGAGCAGGTGACAGCATACCACAAAAAACACGACCTTCCCGAAGACATCCTTCCGCTGCTGAAAAAGGGCGCCCTCGTCGCTCAGAACCCAGCACTCTTCGAATCCATCGAGGAGCTCGACGAAGCCGAGAGGGACGCGCTGTGCCAGGAGGTTACGCACCGGTGGAAGCACCCCTGGGCTCTGTATTACACCATCATTCTCAATTCTATCGCGGCGGCTATTCAGGGATGGGATCAGGTAAGCCAAGCAATGGTCGAATCCTTCGCGCACCCCCTCACCATGTCATGTCCATCTTCTTCCCCTCTTAGTATTATCCACCTTTTCCCGCTCGGGTTCCCCGCAAATTCCGCATGATCTCCCGGGAGCTTAGCTTTCCTAACGGCGCTGCACCAGACCGGGTCCAATGGCGCCAATTTGTCGTTTCCCACTGCGCTCGGCATCCCTGACACGGCGGGTTCGTCCTGCGGGCCGGTCGCCAACGAGGGCGATTGCGCGAAGAATAGCTGGATTATCGGACTTGTGAATTCCATGCCCTACATCACGATCTGCCTATTGTGAGTATTGACCTGTTCCGAATACCTAGACGAGTGAGAGATGTGCTGACTGATTGCGAACAGCGCTGGCTGGATCTCGGATCCTCTTAATGATCTCCTCGGTCGACGAGGTGTCATCTTCATCGCTGCCATCTTCTCGTTGCTCGCGCCCTTTGGCATGGCTTTGTCGCAGACGTGGGGACAGCTCGCAGCTTGCAGGTAAGGAAAAACCCCCCAGATTAACGCTCACCAGCGACATCGTGATGCTCACGGATCCTGCACAGAATGTTGCTTGGCCTAGGCATGGGCTTGAAAGAAGTCACAGTCCCCGTCTTCTCCGCCGAGAACTCCCCCACTCTTATCCGTGGCGGCTTGGTAATGTCTTGGCAGGTCTGGACTGCGTTCGGTGAGCCTCAACAGTCCCCCCCTCCCAAGCAACACCAAGAAATCTTGACTCTCGCCGATCTCTTGGTAGTTCTCTTGGCGAACTACCACTCAGAAATGCTAATCATTTCTAAGGTATCTTCCTTGGCACATGCGCCAACCTCATCGTCGGTAAGACGGGCGACATTGCTTGGCGCCTCCAATTCGGCTCCGCCTTCATCCCAGCCGTCCCGCTCGTCATCGGCACTTACTTCTGCCCCGAGTCTCCTCGATGGTACCTCAAGAAGGGCAGGCACCTCAAGGCATGGGGATCGCTGAAGCGTCTGCGCAATACGGAGCTTCAGGCTGCGAGGGATCTGTACTACATCCACTCGCTTCTGGAGTACGAGGAGACTATGATCAAGGAGTCTGGGCTCAAGGTCACGAGTAACATGTTTACGCGCTTTGTCGAACTGTTCACGATTGCTCGAATTAGGCGCGCGACGTGGGCTTCTGGTATTGTTATGATTGCGCAGCAGATGTGTGGAAGTAGGTACCATCCAAAAACAGCTATGTCTTAGGAGCCGTGGGCGGGACTAACATGCTTTTCTAGTCAACATCATCTCGTTCTACAGCGCGACCATCTTCAAGCAGAGTGGTATCAGCGACTATACCGCACTCTGGGCCAGTTTTGGCTTCGGGTTGATCAACTTCACCTTCGCCTGGCCTGCTGTATGGACGATTGATACGTTTGGTCGAAGAACTCTCCTGCTATTCACATTCCCAAACATGTTCTGGACCCTGCTCAGTACGTCGTGTCTTCATGCTAACAAGATATTGCATATGATTGCTAACATGGCCGTGTAGCTGCTGGACTCTGCTATCTAATCAGCGATAGTACCGCCCGCATCGCCGCAGTGGCGACCTTCGTCTACCTCTTTGCAGCATTCTATTCCCCAGGTAAGCAATGTTCAGATCTCACCATTGCTGAATCGTACGAAGCCTACTAACGCCTCAAAACAGGCGAGGGTCCCGTCCCCTTCATGTACTCCGCCGAAGTGTTCCCCCTCTCCCACCGCGAAATCGGCATGTCCTGGGCCGTGGCAACCAACAACTTCTGGGCGTCCGTGCTCTCCCTCACCTTGCCGCGCATGCTGATCGCCATGACGTCCACCGGTGTGTTTTGCTTCTACGCGGGTCTGAACCTCGTCGCCCTCGCGCTCATCTTCCTGTTCGTGCCGGAGACGAAGCAAAAGTCGCTCGAGGAGCTTGATTACGTCTTTGGCGTGCCGGAGCGGACGCACGCAGCGTATCAGGTCAAGACCGTATTGCCTTGGTGGATTAAGAGGTGGATTTTCCAGAAGAAGGGAGCGAAGTGTCCTGATTTGTATCATGATGAGAATTCGGAGGGAGTACCTCGTGGGGAGTAAGATGTTGTGAAGCGAGGGGTCTGGTGCTGTTATCATCAGCTGGATGCTGGGTATGTTGATGTCTACGATTGTGGGTCGATTGTGGGTTCGTGAGCGTGACAGACGTGGTTGTGTCTGCTAGACATCACCCGAGGGGCGATCGCGTAAGGAAGTAATATTGGTGAACGTCTATCATGTCTTCGTTGGTATTCTTTAGTGGGATTCGTACTATACCCTTCGTTACCGATTCTCTACTTTCTTTCCTTAATATGATCTCATTATCATCTCTATGACTTGAATGAAAATGGACTGTATTCCACCCAAAGGTATTCTAGAGTGTGTAACGGAACTGCGGGTTCGATGTTAGCAAAGAGACTACAACGAATCATACCAGGTGTACTCACATAAGGGTTCTCGAAATCGGTGTAATCCTGCTCCCCAAGCTCCTTACCCCTCTTCTCTCTCTCCTCCACAGTCAACCCATCAACAGCCATAGCAGCATCTCTCTGCTTATTCCTCCTCACCAACACAAACCGCCACGTCAAAATCAACGCAAACTGAATTCCAAAGCAGATCGCGCACCCAATCGTTCCAGGGGTGTACTTTGGCGCATCCTGCGCCTTGAAGATCTGGCTGCCGACCATGTTACCCACGCAGTACCCGACAAAGGTGAAGCTGGACGTCATGGTGCGCTTGGTGCGGCCGGCAATATTGCTCGGGATCAGGGTCCAGGCGAGGAAGAGGCCGAGGACGAAGGGCACGGTGATGAAGTAGCAGCCCCATTTGGTCCACTTGATTGCTGGGTCATTGGGGAGGAGGGACATGCCGAGGAAGCCTGCGAAGGGGGGCAGGACGGAGGTTGCCATGATCCAGAGGCGGAGGTTGGCTTTTTTGCTGGTGAGGAGGCCGACGCAGATAAAGATTATGACGGACATTACGGATCGGGGGATGTCGATGAGGATGGTTTGGAGGTTGTCTGGAGAGGAGCTTGTGTTAGTGTGGAACTTGATATGAAGCAGATTGAATGATGAAGGCTTGATGAAAGGTCATACTGAAGCCAAAAGAAGTCATGATGATGCTGCCAAAGGTGGTGAGACCGCCGTTGGGGACGGAGCTCAGGAAGGCATTCACGCCGGCGAACCAGAAGATGGGATCGCGACAGCATTCGCCGACCTGCTTCCACTTCCACCCCTTGATTGCGGTGCGATCGTGACCGGTATTGTTGGAGATGATGCGCGCGCTCGCCTAGGAGAAATCAGTTTGGGGTTTGTTACGAGATACGACGGGTTTCTTACCATGTCCTTCTCAGCCTGCGTCAACCACCTCACTTCGGACGGCGTACCAAGGAGGAACAGGCAAAGACAGCCAATGGCAGTCGTCAAGCTACCCAAGAACTAAAATGCATGTTAGCAATGCGATCCCCAGCCGTCATTGAGAGGTGCACCAGGCCTCGAGCAACTCACAAAAGAAATATACCTCCACGGCTGAGCCCCCTCCTTATGCTGCGTCGACGCGCCGATAGCGTACATGATGAGCGAGGCAATGACTCCAAACCCAGCATTCGCGCTCTGAAAGACGAGAGACCTTGAGGCGTGCTCGCGCGTCTTGTACCACGTGCCGACCAGCAACATAAAGCCGGGCGAGATGCAGCACTCGAACGCGCCCTGCAGCGCGCGGAGAACAATGAGGTGGGTGAAGTTCTGGGCGAAGCCGATGCAGAGGACGATGATGCCCCAGCAGATCATGTAGACGGAGAGGGTGCGGCCCATTTTGTAGCGCTGGAGGACGATGTTGCTTGGGAATTCGAAGCACATGTATGTGATGTCTGGATTGTGAAGAGGGTTCAGTCAGGATTATGATGCTGGAGGAGGGAAAGACGCGATGTGTGATGGAACGTACAGAAGATTGTTGTGAGCCAGCTGTATTCCTGGCCCTTGAGTCCTGTGTCTTGACGAAGACCAAAGATAGCCTGGGTGCCGAGCGCCGTCTTGTCGGTTTGCTGGATGCCGTAGCATATCCACATGAGGGGGAGGAGGTACTTGTCGACCTTTCTCTTGAGCTTGTGGTATTCCTCCTTTGTGTACTGGCCTTCCACGGCGACTGTGTTACTATTGTTAGCATCAGAGGTCTTTCGGCCTGCGATATAGCCTGTCTTCAGCGACAGAAAGATGTAAATCTCACCGAGGTCGGTCTCGCCATTGCGCTCGCTGGTGGTGTCGGATTGATCCTGGTCCGAGACGATGGCGATATTCTTCTCATCCACGGCGGGAGCCTCGATGTCTTGGGGAGTAGACATGTTCGCGATGGTTCACCAGGGAGAGAACCTCGAGGTTGAAGAGGCAGGAGGGAAAGGTTTAGAGTTCACTATGGATCTCAACGAGGCGATCAAGGCTCCTTTCACATTGACTTGCCTGCTGCAACCTAAGAGATGGCCATAGCTTGTCGACCTATGGAGGAACGAATGTTATATGAGTATCAATACGACGGTGCTATTGCGTGTGTGTGTGTAGTAGATACGGATATCGGCTGTCAATATCGACTGCCGAAGTGCAACGTAACCCCCCTCCCTGAGTTCCCTCCAGTCGAAGAGTCGAGATAAGGATTCCCGCGGAGAGGGTCAGAGGGCAGAGCGAGGTAGGGAGAGAAGAAGATCTAGAGGGTCGATCGCTTCCATTGAGCGCAAAATAGCCGATCGCGTGGCTAATCCTGGTGGGAACTACCGCAGCACGGCAACCAACATGGAAAGTGACAAGGTGATTTGATGCAAGATGGCCCTGTGATTCCGCATCGAACGATGGGAAGCGTGGGTCTGTGGAAGCAGTTTGTATTTGCCCAATTACATCCTTAACATCTCATCGAAATAGACTGTACGTTTTACTAACGACAGATAAGACACCAATGAAGAGAAAGATATCTCTAAGGATGAAGAGGTTGGAGGCGAAAAGATTACCGTCGCGTCGGGTAATGATACTCGAGGCTGGAGGGGCGAGAGCGAGACATAGCAGGGATGTGGCTATGATGTTCCATCGAACACGCCGCGAAGCCGCGTCGCATGTTTGCCGACGAGCTGACGACCCGGAAAGGATGTTGATAGGAGGAGGGGGTGGTGGTCAAGAAGTTGAGATGCGGGATGATAAGGTGGGAGAGGGACAGGGCGGGGCCAAGCCCGATGTTAGTGTTCCCCCTTGCCGGCGAATCGTCCGAAAGGCCGGATCTTGAACTTTGGTTGATATAACGCGCCCCTGTGCCTCGCTGCAAAGAAAGTTGCCCAAGAGGCCAAGAGATCCAAACGGCTTGGTCAACGTACGGATCTTTTCCGGGTGTTAAGGTATTCACATGTATTGGGACGGAGTTTTTGATATCCGTCCCCTGCTATTCCCTGAATCCCTGAATTCCCGAATCTCCCAACGGGAGGCGGGGGAAGCCGGGGTTGTCTTATCTTACCTATCTTACCCCAAACGCGAGCAAGGGGAGGGGGAGAGGAGCCGAATGATAACAGATTATGGTCAGATTCCGTGCTCTGTTTGCAGCCGGAGACCGAGATACCATGGTAAAAGGTTAAGTCATTGTTCTGTTTGTCTGAATTAGCCTATCCAGGTTTGGGCCTCAGTCGGATGCTGTTATTGGTCAGGGCAGGTGAATTTCAAGATCTTGTGATTCTATAGATGCCTTGCTATGCATTTGTCGTCCCTGTTGATGCTCTACACAGCCTTGGAGGCACGCGACTTGTTATCGCGATGGCGCCTCTCCTTGGCCGCTGATTTCCTGCGCTTCATCCACGACTGGTTGAGGTCTCTCCGGTTCTCCCAGAACCACTTTTGAAAGTCGCCTCCGGGCCCGCTGCTGCCCTCGGGGTCGGCGTTTCGCTCCGCATTCAACGTCGCCTCAATCTCCTCGCGGGTCTCTTCGTCGTCCTCCTCATCCTCTTCGCCGTCGTGACCGATAGCCCAGAATGGTTTCGTGTGGTTGGGGTGCGCTGTGTCGGGCGTGGGTGCAGCACTTCTAACGTTGCGCCACTCGACGTCTTGTGCGGTGAACGGGGTCATGGGCATTTGGCTGGATGCTGCAACATCCACGTCTTCTTCGATGTCATCGCCGCCGCCACCGAAGAAGCTGAAAGGTTGAGCTTCTTCGGCGGGCTGGGTAGTCTCCTTACCGTCCTGCTTTGGGCGCTTGTAGAGAGCTTCCAAGGGATGAACTTGGGCCGGGGTCGATGGTGGTATCTTGATGGTAAGACTGGCGTTGGAAGCCGCGGATCTGGGCCGCGATGCTTCGGCGGCTTTGATTGCAGATAGCGGACTGTCAAAGTTGGCAGGGACAGAAGTCTTGGTAGTTTCGACTACCATCTCTTCGTCCGAGTCGGAGCTATCATCGTCGTCTGACGATGATAAATCGCTGCTACTGTCTTCATCACCTGCAGCCTTTGGCGTTTGCTTTGCAGGTGTCACCGGCGCCGACTTAACAATTTGTGTAGCCTTGACCTTTTCCGTGACATTGGCCGGCTCTGGCTCCCCATCTGAGTTCTCGTCGGAAGAAGTATCCTCGTCAGATGAACTGCCGCTACTGCTTGTAGTATCGTCGTCCACGGGTGGAGGCGTGGGAGCCTTGACCTTCTTTGGTGGCTTGGGACTCTTGGATTCGGGGACAGGTGCCGTGGCTGTTCTCCTAGTCTTGGATGATTCGATCAGGTTCCCTTGGGTGTCAACCCATCCTTTTCCTTCAACAAACTCGGTTGTGAGGTTCTCGGTCGGCGCAGGCTTGGCGGTCTTGAGGAAGGTAGGGAACTTTGTCGTCTTCTCGAATTCGTGGATGACAACCTCCTTGGCCTTCTTCCTGCGTTTCTTGCGATCGCCCTCGTCCTCGGGATCGGTAGCCGCCGGGAGCTGCTTAGATGGCAGCTTTGTCTTGAGCAGACATTCCTCCCTGTCTGTGTACTTTGAGCGCTCTTCGCGCTTCTTTGTCTTGTCCTTCTTTTCCTTCTTCTCTCCCTTTTCCTTTTTGCTCTTCTTCTCCCTTATCTTGGCCTCCTCGGGAACGGTCCAACCCCGCTTGACCTTGCGATCGCGAAGCTCGACGCCCTCGAGCACATTCTCATCACGCTTCTGCCTCTTCCTCTCCTCCTTTTCCTTGGACGACTTCTTTCGCTTCTTGCCAGTCTCTTCGCTCTCAGCCACTGGCATGTAGTCCTCGGCGGGGCGGGCCTTATCGATGCGCATCTTGGAGCCCTTCAGCACAGCGCCGTTCAGCCTCTTCTTGATCTTCTCAGCGTCCGCCTCGGGCACGTCGACGAAGCCGTAGCGCTTGTCGGGGAAGGTTTCAATGGTGTGGAAGGAGATGTTTCGGGCGTTTGGCAAGATCGCAGCTGGGATGACGAGTTTCAAGAGGTCCTGGTCGAAAGGAGAGATGTGCAACCTCGTGTAGGCGCTGCTGGTGTCGGAAGGCCCAGCAGGATCAGAAGCAGTCGGAGCAGCACTCGGGGGCATCATTAGATATTACCGCACCGCAAGAAGAGGGAGCCGCGAAGGAGCAAACGTTGGACGGTGATTGAGCGTCGTTGCCCGCCAAAAAAGAATGAATGGCAGCGGGAGCTTAAGGGACTAAAAAAAAAAAAGTAAGCTCCTTTGCTAGAGGATTTTGCCGATCCCCTCGAAAACCCTTTGCTTTGTGTTGCGCAGGGATTTCAATTGGTCCAGAATATTTTCCACCCGGGGCCGTGCTCACATGGCAGCACTGTGCGATGGCACCGTGACCCCATATTTCCCTGCTTACGTCATCTTACTTCTGTTCGTCTCATCTCATTCCTTCTGTGATATTCCTCACCAACAACTCACTGAGTGAGGTAGATCAGTCCCCTCGAATCCATTCCGACCACCAGCATAGCATGCGCCATCCTATGTCGGCTGGTCAGTTCAAACTGCTTGGGTGGTGGAGTGGGTAAAGGTCAACAGTTGTCGCCTGAGCCTACTTGACTGGCTACGATTTCGAGTCCGCAAACGATCCCAGCATGAGCACCAAGAGATGTGGCCATCCCAGCGGTGAACTCTTTTTTGAACATCACAAGTTTGAGCTGAGTTGTATCAATGATCCCCATCTCTATTACTCCTTTGATATTCATTTGCTATTTAAAAAGAAAGAAAAAAAGGGAGAAAGGGAAAAAAGCATACCTATTTCTTACTGACATGCAATCCGTTTGAGAATGAGGTGGAGAGAAGCCCTGAACTGGCCTCTGGGCGGTGACTGCCCACGGTGAGACTCGCGTAGCTCCTTCCATCGTGACGACTGTACATGTTCTTTGGATGGGGAAGCTGCTATGGGCTGCTATTTCACATTTTGTTGGGCACCGTGATTTGAGTTTCCCACGCGAACCTCGTCTTCTTTATCGTCCATCTTCAACCTACCTTAACCTCTCTGCAGCTTTATCCACGACAACAATCCTAGCGAAGAACATCTGACTACAAATCGATGACAACCAGTGGCGCTGCTTTCTTCTCTTCTCGTGGCATTTACTTGCCTATTCCTCTTCTTGATCCTTCGTATTATTCCATATTTGTCGTATGACTTTGCTTCATCCTCTTGCTAGCCTTCGACCAATTCCAACATGAGGGACCCTTCAGAATTCGATGACGAAGAGTTCCGCACTGCACCGTCGACTCGAGAACACAGCCTGTCCGTCAATAGACCTCCAACTGTGACACAGCTACCAGGCGTATTCGTTCCCTCATGCCACAATGGCACTGTCATCTATCCGACCACCACGCAGATAGACCCTAATCTCGGCCGGCGTCCATCCATCGTGCCACCGGGCCCGCCCACTACCCTAGACTGCAGCTTGCTCAGTAATGGAGACGCCGAGACCATGACGTGGGCTCCTCAAGCCAGTCCGGTTTTCCGGCAGCCATCAAGATGCATGAGCATGGATCAGACTAGAACTCAGGCCCATAACTACTGTCTGCCCCCGGCCGCTGCAGAAGCAGTCACCAAGGGGGATCTGTCAGGTATTTTAGGTCAAGGCATGATCTGCTAAGACACCTTGCATTTTAATTGCTAATCAATAATGCCGTAGGAAACAAGTGTCTTGCCGGCGAGTCTCAGAACACATCATCAGGGAGAACGAACCACAAATCAGGTATCGGCTTGACCTCCAACATTCAACATGGCCCCACGACGATGCCCATACGAGGCCGACGCGATATTTCAGGCAGCCACAGCTCCATCAATGGTCGTCATAGCCGACACTCATCCCGGTCCGAGCATCTCTCCGACACCCCGAGACGGTCTAGTCACAGCATTTGGGGAAAGCCCAATACCTTGATGCAGCAAATCATGGGAAAGGTACGGGTTCGTCTTGCTGGTCAACGAACAACGCCGGCTATCTCCCCAGACGACCCCGATGGAGGGACACCATGCAACAAAGCCTCATGCCAGTACGTTCTCACCGATGATCAAGTACAAGACGTTGTGGAGATCGTTTTCAAAGAAATGTGCAAGCACAATACGACCATGGAGGATGCTATCAAAACCCAACAAGCAACTGATACTGCGATCCAAACAAACTTGGCCAGGAAGCCGAGCTTCCTCAAGACTGCCATTGAGCTACGACCTGCTCGTGCAGCTGATACAGCGACTACCATCAACGAACCCGAGACCTCCTTCTTTAATCGAAGCGCTGTTGATGGTCAGGTACGGTCGAGAAGTGTGGCTCGACCGGCACCCATCACCACGATTGTATCACGCGACAGTATCACTGATATACGGTGGCTCGCTGATACACTGGCAGAACATTCTGACCAGACCCGAGAACCGGTTTCGGATGCTTCCGTAGTGCAAACATCTGCCGTGTCCCAGACCAACTCTTCCATGTTCAATGTGTCCAGCATTATTGAGGAACTCAGTCGGGCTTCTGATTCTGATACTCTGTCGGATACCCCTGATTTCCATGGCTTCTCGCTCGGTTCTCACCTTGTAGGCGAATTAGGTCGTCAAAAAGAGAACCTCAAAGAATCCAGTGTCGATGACGAAGCTTCTTCAATCACTTCATTCCCTAGCCTGCCACAGCGACACTGCACGGATGAGTGGCTGAGCACCCCGGCTAGTATTGTTCCTCTTCAACATGAAGATAAGAGCAAGGTCAACATGTATCATATGGGAATTGACGCGAGACTTGGTAGTGTCGCACCCATCAGTAAGGACTCACCTCGTAGAGATTCCGACCGTTCTATGAGCCACGAGGTAGATCTCCCCTTGGATGATCCTGCGAGTATCAAAAACAAGCCCTCTCACCGAGACTCCGAGGCCTTGTCAGACTCGCATGCATGCGGCGAAAACAAGGCACCCGGCGAATTGGCCAAGAATACCAGGCGGCGCTCTGCCCATTTCGCAGAGCCTTTGGTACAAGACACTCGCAAACCAGAACCAGGGTTCATGCAGCAGATCACCCGAAAGATCAGTTCTGTTTTTCAGAGAACACCAAGTAGTAGCCGTACAACCCGCGCACCAGCGCCATCCGAAGTTGACGATGAGGTTACCGGAAAGGCTGGCGGAGAACTTGGTGCAAGCCGGCCAGCGGCGGGAACTGGTGGTTCTGGTGTGGATTGCCTCTCAGAGCCGGAGCCCGACGCCGTCTATCAGGCTATGGTGCTATCGAAGCCTACGAAAGACAAGAAGCAACGCCGTAGCACTTGTTCTGAAGACTACATTCCTCACACGTACGTGGATGATCTGAGCACGTCGGGAATCCCGTCACCCAATATCCAGTAAGCCACGGAGGCATTTCATAGAAGGCAATGCCAAAAAGACGAATGGGTACCCTAGAATCCATAGACCTTACTTAGTTCATAAATACGGCCATCATCTCCCTATTTCTAAGGCTTTTGAGCAACTTGATGCTGACGAGGTAGTCAATGAGTGCAAGTGCTACTACCTACTAATGGATATGCATCAGACTCGCCCCACAATGGACAAAACTCTGAAAGAACTCAAGATGCCAAAAAGGCAACATCTATTGAAGCGGTCTTGAGGAACCGCAATCACTGCGCGCCAATTCCTGCTTCAATGCGAGCATACCGCCATGAACCCTCACATCGCACCCGAAGTAGACTCAGGATGGGTCCAAGTCAACTCAATTTCCACTCCAGAAGCAAAAGCGATGCCTCACAACCAAACATGGCAAAATAATTGGACACTGTGGGAATTGAACCCACGACCTTTCACAGATTGCGCAACTGAAGCTCACGAAGGATGCTCAGATGTAGATGCGAAGCGAAAATCATACCCCTAGACCAAGCGCCCGATAATTGATGCAGAGCTACGCTGGATGAGGAAATATGGATGGATCTGGATAGGAGGAGGGGTCTCTGTGGAACTGTTAGTGGAGAGGACATGCGGTGTGCGAGCAAAATTGGGTGCCGGTTATCGTCGGCAAAGGCGTTGAGAAGTAGGCGGCTGGTTGTGGAGAGTGAAGTTCACGATGATTCTGAGTAATGGTAAAGAAAGGCACTTGCAGGGTTCCTTGGCACTTGAGTGTTATGGAATGAACAATGAGTTGACGGCTTGGAATGTTTTGGAGAGCCATGTTTGTGGGGAGTCGGGACAAAGTTCGGTAATGATTAGCGACGGGTTGAAAGTTTACTGGAAAGCATGCCAAAAGAAAGGCTCGCAGAGGATTAAACGCGCGGGAAAACTTATTGGAACCCCCAAATTCTTGGTATCCCTCAAAACCGGTTTTTGGGCATCATAGGAGTAGAATTCAACCAGTGAGTTTGCAAGCCGATGCGTGTTGTCGGAGCGTAAGGTATCTGACAGTCCTCTCATTTCCTCACTTAGGAACTTATTTACCTTCGTTCCCTGAGCTCGCAACAAGAACTTTGACTGATCACGACTGCTGCCGTTGTTTGTTCGCCAAGCTTATGGAGTAATCGTGCTCTTACGCAAATTGCGGCTTCACTATCAATCTTTCTAAGCACATTAAAGGTGGACGTAAACTCTCGGCCTAATAAGATGAGTGGTATTTCCGGCGGCATTATTCAAGCTGTCAAAAGTAGCCCGTTCAAAAGACAGAAGGCAGAAAAACACTCCGCTCTGTAGAGACCACTGTTAGTGCACCGTTTCCTGTCATGTTGTGTTACGAACTGCTTCGCACACCTCACTTGCCCACGCAGGCTCCAAAGTTGGAACTAGTCGACAAAGTTGCCCCTTGTCGCAGAGCAACGCATCCATTGAAGTTCCGGGGAGAAACTCCCGTCATCCAGTCACCTCTTTACTCGTAAACCTTTGTGTCTGAAGACCCAGAACCGGGGTCGAGATTATTTCTGCCCAGTTTCCGGCTGGCAGGTTCTGGTCCCGACAGAGCTGATTTGATTGGTCATGTGGTTCACCCGCTTCATCAACCTCCACACGCCAGACAACACGACTCGGAGGCTGTGTCAGATAGTGTGGATGTGTCTCCTGGGACAGTTCCGTGCTTCTCTATGGCGGCAGAAACACCTATCAGCGACCTTGTTTCGGGTTCAGATGTTGCGGCTCAGTCGTTGTGCGAATGCGATGATTCAGACCCTACAGTCGCTTTTCATGAGTTGACTCGCCTGTCTTGTCTGAGGATGGATGCAATCAGTTCGATGTCGATTTCCTCTGACCCATCATCGTGGTTCGAATTTTCTCGAGAGAAGGAAGACTGAAAGTTTAGGTGAGGTGACCTCCTAGGCTGGAGAAAAAATGAAAGCACCCGAGAACATGGGGCAAGGCCAATTTTGATTTCCGGAACGTCCGAGAGCCGTTTGATATCGACCTGTCAGAACGGGTGCTAGATCGAAAGGTCAAGCTCGGAAAGCTCCAGCGCAGGG